TTAGCAACAGGAGATGGGTTCGAGTCCCGGGTGGGACTCAACCCAACAAGGTACTAGAATTTGTACATGTTACATTTGACCACTTTTTAAATGGCATTGTGTAATGTTAGCAAGAGTTTTCAAGAAGTTTCCAAACGACTTCAACTCTGCAGTTATTACGGTTTAAGAAAGTCTTTGGAAATTACAAATTATACATCATGTAGCGTCGTTTTTGGATGGAACCCGAGTCAAGAACTATACCTCAGCACATCGTCCACAGTAACGAATTAAATACGTCATCCCCACGTATAATTTGAGGAATACTTATATTATGGGAAATTAGCAAACCAACATATTGTGCCCCAAGTGCACGCCGACACTTAAAATCCATTCTATAATTAAGACAAAACGCCTTATTGACAATATTAGTGACAATATTTATTTCATGCCAGATGTCTTTCGCGGATGTAAAGTAATCTATATGTACAGCAAGGTGGGTTCAGGGGCAAACATCTTTGTACGTTGTTGGCAGGTTGTGTGCAATGGCGAGGTGTTCCAGTGCTGTAACATACAACCATTGTTGTTATCTTAACGTACACATTGAAATTGCTTACATCGTCTTCTATGAAACTCAACGACCCCTAGAGCTGCATGATAGCTGATACAGCGTCACCTGAAACATCGTCATTACTAGATGGTTTAAGGGCCTGTTAGCTGAACACAAATATACTGTTAACCCACAGATTGTAGCACTACACAAGACAATAACTGTTTGTTAGTTTTGTGTTTGTAACATATGTCCTACAAACCTTCCCCCCAAATCATACCCCACTACAACTATTGTATTAACTGTGGCGATGTTCCGGATAAAATGTGTACCGAATAAATGGCGTTATACCAACAACGGATCATTAGATAGTTACGCAGACTGTTTTAAACAGTCAAGAAAATTATTGGGCACAAGTTATCCAACTTAGAAAATCCTTCCCCGATAGTTACACAATTCATCTTACAACAAAGTACACACGTGACAGACATAGGCTAAGATATGTACAACAGAAGTTAACTGAGAAAACGTTTTGCTTGAGAGACATAGATAATATGTTCATATTTGAAAACATTCCAAGTCTTTGAATTAAACACAAATTAAAACATCATTAATTTGTGTAAATATATTTGTTATAGTCAAATATAAACACAATGCTAATTGGAACTGCGTCCCGTTCCCCCCAGCACAAACCTACACAGCGACACATTACTCACTACGGTTCCAAGCGGCTTCAACCTAATTAATTCACTCTCTCCCTTTGTGTGTTTATTCATGTTGCCATTATGATATTTATTCAGTATGTGCCCCAAAAGTATATATAATGTACCTGCGGTAGAGGCCTGCATGCCGGCGTTGTAGTCGCACGCCACCTCGTTCTTGACGTAGTCTTTTCTGTCGTCTTTGTAGCTGTCGTCTTTGCCGGGGCCGCCCACCATGGCGCCGTACAGGGTGTGGGGGTTGGGGCCCTTCTGGGTCTGAGACTCCCAGTCACACGGAGCGGGAAGCATGGGACAGGAGCTGATGAAGGGAAATTTCGGTTGATATGGTAACACAATCAGAATCGAACATTTCAAAAAGGTACAGGTAGAATATATATTCTAAAGTTTCCCTTGACACTTGAGAGCAGTCTAACATGTATTAATTAAAGAATTTAAGGACCACTCTGTAGGAGTGTTACACATGTGTCACTTGTATATAGATATAGTGCCCCCAATAGTACCCACTAGTGCCCTTGTTTAACCAAGTGGTTTGATGGAATACGGACAGCAACTACTGGATGAGCAGGTTGTTTCACCTGTACTGGATGTGTCTGACACTTGGTTAGGTGAGCCCCTGCGCCGGATTACCTTCCAGCGCTGGTTGCTATACCAACCGTGATCCAGCCACTCTGGTCCGTAGTTGTAACGTCATCTTGAGGGGGGTATTGGTTCATGTTGCCATGGTGGGGCCGTGTACCCCGAACATCAGGGTTCATGAAACCATGAGGCTGAGATTGAGAGGTGTTTGTGTTTTGGCTCTGTGCATCACGTACATCGAATGTTAATTATACTATACATAATACAATGCCGTTTCCCTGTAAGGTGAAGTGAGGTGAAATTGGGTTTAACGTCGTGCTTGAGAATATTTCGCTCACATACATGCGACGTACATGTGTATGAGCGGCTGCTTGTACTAGCCCAGACTTAAGCTGGTTTTATAATGCTAGCCCACTGAGATACCATGCCGCAGTGAAGCATGAATAGAGACTGAGTGAGTTTAGTTTTACGCCGCACTCAGCAATATTCCACCTTTATGGCGGGGGTCTGTAAATAATCGAGTCTGGACCAGACAATCCAGTGATCATCATCATGAACATCGATCTGCGCAATTGGGAACCGATGACATGTGTCAACCAAGTCAGCGAGCCTGACCACCCGATCCCGTTAGTCGCCTTTTACGACAAGCATAGTCGCCTTTTGTGGCAAGCATGGGTTGCTGAAGACCTATTCTACCCCGGATCTTCACGGGTCGAAGCATGAATACCCCACTCAGACACATTATACTGACCAACAAGTCCCACATTTTAACGTCTTTTGGTATGACGCGGTCGGGGATCGAACCCGTGACCTTCCGCTTTCCGGGCGGACGCACTAGCCACTACACCACGGAAGCGGTCTCCCTGTTAGGAGCTTAAGCATAGTTATCAGGTTATACCACAAGGTAGCGTGATACACGGTTATCTGTCAAAAAGCTACCAATCAAATTCAAGTACGTTTAAGGTAGTGCAACTTGTGTACGTTATTCCTGTTTTTATCATATTTTTAAATACCTATTTCACAACATGGCGTGTTCTCAGTCTTCTTAATTAAAGCATTGTCTCAGTTAGTCGATACCGCATCATGCTGAACAAAGATGTGTCAGTCCTGAATGGGATCATTGGTTTCACATTGCGCTCACGAGTCATCATTGAGTTCGACCTGTGTTGGCCTCATGACCCCTCAGTGATACGTCTACCAACCTTGCTCTGTGATGTGGCCTCTGTGGTGGATTGACGCCATATCCGACAATAAAACTTCTTCCTGTATCGCCAAATGCGTAGTGGAGCTGCGTCATGGCCCACTTCCGGTATATGACTGGGTTGAGCCCAGCGTCAGCGGCCGCCAGGGCGAGGAAGGCCGTGTTTGCTGCAGGCAATGGAGAGTTTTGTATGACCCCATGTATCAAGCATCATGCAGCTGTTTACACAAACGTAGCCGACCCAACCATCTGACTTTGTCGGTATGTGAGTGAATGTCACTCAGACTGTTATGTAGATTGTCAGACTAGTGGCTGTCAGCGCCAGAATCAGCTCATGAATCAGCTAAGATGAGCTGCTAAGTCTTGTATTGCAAATACCTGTACCTTATCCCCCTTTGGTCATATTCATGACAAGCAGTGAGCACCATTAAGAAGTGATTGATATGTTTTGTCAATTTATCAAGTTGTATTTCTCAAAAACATTAACATAACACACAACAAAATGATGGCATTACGGGCTGTAGCGTAGTCCTGTGATTAAGGTGTTAGTCGCGCTGAAGACCATTGTTGGAAGGATCACTGGTGTTCTCCAGTCTGATATTACTCAAATATTGCTAAAAGCGGATAAAAATCTCGCTCATTGTCATTACCAATTTGGGACTACCGGGGTCAGTCTGTGACGTGAATGATTGTGCGTCCTTGCACTCCGTGGACAGGGATTGATGTCCATGCTTTCAGTAAGTTGATGTTTCCAGATCGATTGTGGACCGACCGCTGCGTAATAGCGGGACTATTGCTGACTGCGGCATTAAACAAAACTCACTCACTCACATCGACGACCTCCAAGATTACCTGAATATCTGAGAGACCCCCACTGGAGCCTGAAGGCCAGACATTTGGGGCTGTAGCCGATACTTCCTCCGGGGGAACCAGTCTACGAAGGTTCCTTCCACGACTTTCTTGTATTGGTCCTTCTTCGTCAGTTTATACAGCAGGAGCTGATTGAGAGAAAACACCAGCGTTAAGTTTCCAAAGAAACTGTCGACCCTGCACACGTTAATGAACAAGTAAATGAAACATGAATGTGAATCATATTTAGATCCCGGTCCTACAGGGTTCTGTTAGAGGATAGATATAGTCTCTTTTCCTTCGTCTCACCTTTCGCACTTCCCGCTCTCAAGTTCACATGCGCTGAAATAATTTCCGCTGCACTGCTTCAAGAAAACACGATTCCAAATACTGATTCACTCTAAAGCATATGTTTTGTTCAAATCCGTTTACGTCGTAGGAGGTAAATATCAAAGCTGAGTAATTGTGAAGAGATTCAGACTTTGATTAATCCTTAAGTACGTTTCGTATCAAATCAAACGGTTATATTACTTCTCTCTCGTGCAGAACTATATTCCAGCTGCCTTAAATCAGACTACGACGGGATTTTCACTTACATTGGCACCGCCGATCTTCTCATCCCATGAGAATCCCCAGGCTGTTTTGTTCACGAAGTGTTGCTCTGCATAATCTAGGTACGTCTTGTCTCGAGTAGCCATGTATAGCCACACGCCTCCCCAGCTGTTCTCGTCCTCGTAGTCCTGAGATCTATAATGACAATGATTGCATTAATAATGATATTATTGAAGATGACGATGATAATTATTAGTTGATGCTGTGAAGACTTTCTATAACTTGTACTCCATTGTCTGGCATGTCCCAAGTTGCGGGATGTCTGCTAGTCACATCGTAGCTCGCATATCATGGCCCTATACTAGCCACGGTTCATTTGTACAAAACAGTTCTAGCGATGCCTTAAGCGCAACTCCCACACCTTAACATAGACTTGTCACAGTCGGAGCTAAACTCCCCTTGAGCAAGCGACACAGGCTGACTATCCATAGACCCATGTGCCAATATATATGAAATCCTTTCCTGTTTGGGGAATATTTGCTTCCACAACACAGAGTAAGACCTGTGTACTTACGCATAAAAGGCAGCGGCATTGGAAACAGTTGAGCTGTACTTCCCCTGGTGAGCCTTCCCGAACTCAAACAGCTCCTTGGCGTGTTTCAGCAGGGTGCGCGAGTAGTCGGGATCTGACAGGGCACGAACAGAGAAAACACGTGTCAATATGTTACAGCTTGACGTGCATTTATCAGTTTGTCCAACTATTAACTGTTTCGTTGTCACTTTTGAAAATTACTTCAAGTCGGAGGAACGGTTAATTTCGCTTTGTATTTGATATCAGATATAAAGATACGTTATAGCCATAGATATCGATGTTGTAAATTATTGTTGATTCATCAGCTATACGGTCGCCATCGGGAAGTGACGATAACATTTACAACTAATGTTGGCTACAGTATGTTATCTTGATTCAAGTTCAGGAATATTTGATTTCCCATGAAGCTGCAATGGCAAAGAAGTAACTATTTATCCGTCATATAGATAGGAACAGACTTCTCATTTGCCAAAACCTACTCTTAAGTCGAACTTCCCACCGCCATAATTAATGTTACAGTAATATTATGTTGGGGAATGCATAAGGGAGCATACTCAACATAATGCTTGGATTCGAACCCTGGAGCCTGACGAGCCATCGCTTTTCCCATTAGGCTATTCATCTAACGTTTGTACACGGGCAATTCAGATCGGTTTAATCCTACCTTTGTCTTTGAAAACCATGGATCCAGCGGCCATGGCTGCAGCGGTCTCCATGGCCAGATCTGACCCTGGACCGGATGCATCAATCTTGAAGGCTGGTCTACGTCCGGTCATGCGCTCTGGGCTGGTCCATGTGCCGTGGTCAGCACCGCCATCTCCAACCTTCATAATCATTTAAGATTTTATTAGGAAGAAAAACAAACTTCATTCTTTCCATTTGTTGATATAAGGTTTGGTCGTATTTTTGAAATACAAAAGGTCAGTTATAAATTTAAAAAGAAAACTGCAAATTCCAACTCTTTCAAATGTTCCAAAAGGTATAATTCCTATTGCCATGTCTTCCAGATGCCACTATAGCCACTGCATAAACAAACCACGGAACATTTGAAATTAGATCAGTATTCACACATACTTTGACACAAGTCTATATTTACATGGGTTGCCAGTCACCCTTTTCAAAACCAATGCCTTGCATTTACCAGCTTACGACAGTTTTATATATGACTGTTATATCTTCGACGTTGACTAAGATCTATACCTGTGCGTAGAGCTCGTTAGGCTTGGTGTGGCACTTGATGAAGTAGTCCAGCGGCCACCTGATGCATTCATACATCTTCTCGAGTTGACCTGATGCATTGTAAGCGTCGATGTATTCAAGCAGACTCCACGTCAGGAGGGTCGTGCTGAACGCCATTGGGAAGTTGAATTTGACGTTGTCGCCAGCTGAAAGAGTAACGTCATACCGCTTTATCAGACCGAGACACATTGTCCTGAGACAATCAAATTCATAAACTATTGCCCTGATATGTCCCACAATCATCGGTATTGTGAAACATTCAGTATTAATTCATGATTCCATTCATACGTGTTTTTCTTTATCAAAGGACAGTTCTTAAGTTATTTTAAGTTCATTACAACAATATAACAAAATATGTAACACTGCCATTATCAAAGGAGTGAGTGAGTGTGTATGGTTTTACGCCGCCTTTAGCAATATTCCAGCAACATCACGGCAGGGAACACCAGAGATGGGTTTCACTCAATCTATCTGTAACCACTAGGCTACACCACCGCCCCAATTATCAAAGGAAAAGAAACGTAGGGAGACATACAAATATGGTGTTGATAGAATTTAGGAAGATTCAATCTGCATGCACACGGGCAAGAACAGGTCGCATTTCTTACTTTACTTGTGTTTGTCGCCAATATGATGTAAACGTGCAAGAAGGAAAAGGATACAAATGTTAAATACAGTGTGACCGAAAACGTAAAAATACACTTAGTCTACATTTTCATTCAAACACATACTTTAGAAAACATGTTTTTGGTTTGCAGCAACTGTTGCCAATAGATACTCACCGTCGTACCATCCTCCAGTGAGGTCTTCCCCGTTAGCACCCTTGTCGTTGAGGGCGGAGTCAGCTCGCCAGGGGATCCTGTTGTCAGGGGGGAGTTTCCCTGATCTCTGAGCCTCGTAGAACAAGATGGACTTCATCAGGATCTCAGCATAGTTGTACTTGGTTGCTTGGGCCCCTGGCGACAGATAGTGGTTGCACAGTCATCAAATAGTCATTGGCGTCACGTGGAAGGTCTATTCATGTAGTTAGGAAGCGCCATTTGCCCCCAATCTCGTATTGAAACAGTCCGATATTGAGACATTCGCTGGAGTTCACTTCTTCTTCATGTGGACGAGGTCGGGGCATCAGTACGATGCATATATACTTTACAATACTATTAAAGTAGAGCGTGTAGGAATTCCTCTGGCTTTGCGGTGATGTGTCAATGCCCAAGCCCTTTAGAGGACGGGGAACACAAAGGACGGACTTTACATGTAAGCGTGTAAGCAATTGAACCGTAAGATCAGGCAGACAAACACATGCTGAAACCCCAATCCTCTCGGGTCCCATGATGAAAACGTATACTAAAGACAGTCTTAGATTGTCAATCACATAACTAAATGATATTCGTGTTATTGTCTTTACATGACGCTATTGCTAACATGTATTCATTGATGTGAAAGTTAGTTGGTAAAAAACAAAGGCACCTAGGGCACCTGTCGTCATAGAGACTGCTGTTCGCTGTGCAGAGTGGCGGCCCCTGGTCACGCCAGGAACCTAAGATCACAAGTTGAATCCTGATAAGCCCGATTATGTTTCATGGTTTGTCAACACTATACCCATCTTCCGACTGAGTGAGGCATGGGATGTAACTGTTATGACGTGATATAACATGAATTCTATTGGAAGCGGTGTTGAATCCAACTCCCTTGGTCACTGTCATAAGAACACAATACAAATAGTGTATTGTGGAGTTTTGTAAGATTTGTCTGCTTGAACACAAGTTGGCTTTGTGATAATGTCATGTATGGTGGAATATTCAGTGACCTGTGCATCAACACAAGAAAACATGATGACGTACAATATAAGGCGCTACCAGTCTCTCTGTACGTTTAAAACGCCAATGCCACACGGTTAATGTCATAAGTCACCAAACATACACGTGAACGTATCACAGAAGGTCACTGACCTGTAACAACAGGGGTAAGAGGCAGCGTCTGTCCATCGTTGGTGACGTCGACGAGGACGGCAGTTCCGCTGGGATCGCCAGACCCACTGCACACGTTACCTGTCATCCGAACACAGTAATGGTCTCCGGCGTAATGGACACCTTTGGCCTTCCGGTTGACCATTGTCCAGTGTTTGGAGCAGCCTGAAGATGATCCAACTATATCCCCTTCATAGTTCTAAATATCAAAAGGTATACGTTTCTGTTACACAGCTATCGAAAATATAATGATACAAGACACACACGACCTGCTATTTGGTCATACAAGGCAATAGATGACAAGGTGTTATTGTCCTTCTAGACATGATCATTTGAATGACAACCCGACATTTATCTTCGACCAGACATGTTCACTCTGAATCAACAAAAACACAAAGTGCATTGACAGGATTAAATGTTTTTTTAAAAGTCGATTTTATGTGATTTCAGGAACAATTTTAGGATTTGAAAAAGGACAAGAGTGTGACTCAATCAGATCTTTCTAAGGGCGTTCAGTCTTAAATGTATTATTCGTACCTTGGAGAAATGAGATTTAGCACAACGTTGGACATCATTGCACGTGAAGCGAGGGTCATGCACGTGGGTTTATGTGCTGGGACAGCGTGTCACATTGGCTATCCCTCTCAAATATATTATATTGATACACAGCAGACCAGCCCTGTTTTACCAACTGATGACCGAGTGCCAGAGTAAGAAAGTGTGCTTATTTTAACGTCTTCAAGGCTGACAGTCCATCCAGAACACCTCGGAAGCGGTGACTTGTGGGTACAATATGTACAGTATGTACAGTCTGTGTGTACAAGATGTAAGTTTATAGTTTCCTGGCCTGAACTTACCTGGATGCTGGTGACGTGTGTGTACAAGATGTAAGTCTATAGTTTCCTGGCCTGAACTTACCTGGATGCTGGTAACCTGTATTTACAAGATGTAAGTCTATAGTTTTCTGGCCTGAACTTACCTGGATGCTGGTGACGTGTGTGTACAAGATGTAAGTCTATAGTTTCCCGTCCTGAACTTACCTGGATGCTGGTGACGTGTGTGTACAAGATGTAAGTCTATAGTTTCTGGCCTGAACTTACCTGGATGCTGGTGACGTGTGTGTACAAGATGTAAGTCTATAGTCCTGAACTTACCTGGATGCTGGTGACGTGTGTGTACAAGATGTAAGTCTAAAGTTTCCTGGCCTGAACTTACCTGGATGCTCTTGACACCCACACTGAAGGTCATGAGGAGTTCCCAGGCCTGGATCTCCTCCTTGAGGTCAACACAGAACTGCCCCTCCCACTGACCATTCCTGTTCTGGATCAGCTCCATTGTTAAGGTCTGGTTGTGAGGCACGTGCAACGGCTTAGTGCCCTCTGTTGACAATGAATAAATATCAAGTACGACAACTGCTTTATGTTTCTTTGACTAGTTGTCAACTGGCACACAAATAATACGCATTAATTAAAATTCATTTACCCAGTAATCGAGGGAACCAAATACAAGGTGAGTGGTGTCCTACTGATGAAGTTTTTCCAATAATAAGTCAGGTTGGTGATTGGATTTGCCAACACTGTATTGGGGAACCTGAATAATAACGTTAACGTGAAACTTACTTGTTGTTGGAGGATGTGTTGTCGTTGGGGGCCACGCTAAAAAAATAAGAAGGAATCATCATGTTACATTCTTGGACGTTTCCTTTCAACGGGTGCTCTGTTCGTATATTCTGTTCATTCGTACATTTGGTAAGTATATCAAGCATATCATATCGGATTCCACACAGCCTGATCTACATGTCTATTGTCCACGATATGCAGCCTCAAGGAAGTTTTGATGAAGTGCAAGGAATAGTTATATATGTGCTTTTTCCGAAAGTATTTAAGGAATTGTACATAATATGAAGGTGTAACACATTACGAACGAGTGTCAGATAGCCGAGCAGTGATCATGGTTGTCGAACGTCTCGGTAAAATGCCATTGACGTATACATTATTTTATTTCTGTATGTGTATGTGCATGCATGAAGGAATTGTGCGTGTGTTTTTGTGTGTGCATGCGGGTGTGTCTGTGAAAGTGCATGCACGTGCGTGTGTATGTGTGTGTGTGTGTGTGTGTGGTTGTTTTGTATCAGTCATAATTTACAAAAAGCATCTGTGAACATTCATAATATCCATACTCTCGCCAGGTCCCAGTGTTCTCGTGGTAGTTGGGGTTGTTGTGGTCGATGTCGTCGATGGAGGTGTAGTGGGGTCGGGCATGTTCTCTAGGACGACAGTAGCCGTTGGGGTGATGTCCCCGTCAGCGTGTCCTTGGAAAGACAGACACAGCTTGTCCCCGGGATGTTCGTCTCCATTGAATGGTTTGTTGACTACCACGTACTCTGTGCCGTCCGTATTCTGAGACTCAATGTCAGCCAAATAGATCTGATGTGCAAGATGGCGTGAAGCCAAGGCATGGTTATACAACAGTTGACAGCAAAAACGTGTAAAAAATGTCCACACTGACACAGTAAAATCGAACATTTTTCCTGTTATCCTTCGATTAATAAAATGATATTTTAGTGATATATAATTATCTATCAGCATCTAATTTTAATATGAATGTAATTCAAACTGTATGAACCGACCTCGAGAGACTTTGTCGGCATGCTGAAATGAATTCGAGCTTTCCAGGAAGTGACGTCAAGAGTGAATGGTAGACAGAAATCACCCTGGAATCCACCACTCCAATGGTTGCCCATGGTAACAGGCACCGTATTCGCTGCCGACGGGCTCGCAAAGAGCCCCAGTAAGAGAAGATGAATCATCTGCGAACATGTCAATGACAGCGAGTGAGTTGTGCCAGCTGTCTATGTATAACCCCAAAGGTCAGACTATTCAGTATCGTCTTGGGTTGACTGGAGAGAGGACAATACCTCGGTTACACTTTCTTTATACACAAGGATGCGTTTTTCACAGTTTTATGAGCTTCAAGGACATCCAACTTACACATGATTTGTTACTCTTGAACCTGTATGTATCAGACTCTTCTCCCCCAAACAATGCCTGGCCCACACAACACATCCTATTACATGTTTTTCCTTATGGCGATTTCGTTCTTACTGTACTTCTCACTGTAAGCTACTGTACTTCTCACTGTAAGCTACTGTACTTCTCACTGTAAGCTACTGTACTTCTCACTGTAAGCTACTGTACTTCTCACTGTAAGCTACTGTACTTCTCACTGTAAGCTACTGTGCTTTTGCAGAAATCCCTTTTTATGCATACGCTATGTCAACAGTTAATGATATTTAAGTTTCGTTTGATTAGCAGTGTTTAAAGTCCCTCTGGTTCCGCCTGTCTTATAAGCAGATTATTCCCAGCAAATCACTTTTAAACACCTAAGATTCGTCTAACTTTTCAGGTTCCATTAAGAATAAACCAGAATATATTTATCCTCCGTTGGTGTTTAGTTTTCGTTTGGAACATCAATCTTTTTCGACAACTCGGGCGTTAGAGCCATGAGAAGTACTCTCAACAGACCAGAGCAGTAGTTGACTTTATAATACGTTAGGTGATGTTACATACAGCTATGGTGTTAAAGATCATCATGCAATGTTTAATATGAATACATTCACCACTGCAGTTTTCTCAACATTCCGTATATTTTATATGGTATCTACGAGCTGTAAAATAAAAACGGAGATGAATCATATTTGCATGCTGAAAATTCATGCCATGAATAGGTTTAACGAAGCAACGTCATATGTAACATATTCTGTTATAATACACTCCTACAGGAATCCCCAAACCACTATCTGCTACAATCAAACCTTCAAAACCTTCAAGTTCTCCAAAATGAACTGACCTGCCCGGATGTCTGTGAGTGACTGTGCAGCTTGAGGCTGAACTGCATTAACACATGCCAACCTGTTATCTGGGCGACCCCGTGGCTTGATAGCACTATCAGTAGGTGCATACAGCACCATGGTGTCACCCATCTGAATAAAAACTCAATAATCATATATACGATTCAAAGAAAAAGGGATCACAACGAATGGTCACGACAGGTGACATATGGGGGATGAATCATGTCAGTAACCTTTGAATTCGTTGACACATCATAAATCTTGTTTTTTAATATAACCGTCAAGCTTGAGTTAATTAGGTGCGATGTGTAGAAATTCCTGGAATCTAGACACACGGTAACAAATAATAAACACATATCGTGACAAGCAAGCATAAAGGAAACATCGTTTCCATCAAGTACAGCGTGTAATCCCTTAACAATTCTATAATCTAGTGAAACTGAAATTAGCTGTATAATGTCGGAGACAGGCACCGTCTGCACACAGGACAGATCATCGCGGTGAAAGAGAGGTGTTTTTAAGTTGATCTGTTTTGGGAGATTTCCATAGAGGATTATCTGACATCAACTGTTCAGGATGAGGATCATGGTAGCTGCCATGGAGATCTGGCAGTCCCTCCCTATCTACAGACGTGGAGTGTGGGAATCCCAAACCACGCCCAACTGTAAAGGTTGTGATTGAGGATTTTGGTAACTGCCCTAGATATCTTGCAGCCCTTCTTTATCTACAGCCGTTGAGGGGGTGCGCCACACCACGCCCAACTGTGTATGCTACTCCAGACACTTCTATATTTTGCTATCTACCTTTACTGAAACAGCCAGCAAATTTATTGAATTAAAATATCTCTTTATTTTACTTCTGGTATTACAGTGTTGTTAATTTTCAGGCTCTAACAGAAACGACGACAAAACCCTTTCCACATCCGTCAGAAATTTCAGATAATAGCAGAATGGATTCTACAATTCTGACTGTTAGTTTGACATCGCATTCAGCTTTACAGGTGTACAAGGCTGTCTGTAAACAATCGAGTCTGGACCAGACATTCCAGTGATTGACTTCATGAGATACGATGGCAGAGCATGTATTTACGAATCACTGTCAAATGCTGATTATATTAGATCTTCGTAAAAAGTGATTTCTGGAATGAATCATGGTACAGGTCAAAGTAAGGAATTTCATCGGACATCAGTCACTAATGCATCAGTTTTAATGTTTTCAGAGCAAAAAATTGTACCCTCAAAGTTTATTATCAGTTTTGATACGTAAATTTAATATATACTTAAGTGTGAAAGACTGCAATTTCTAAGTTGCAGAAAAGGGATATTTTCACTGCAGTGACAGGAATTTGGTATGTTCACTGTAGTTAAAATATCTCTTTGCTGGCACCACTTTATGGCTCAAAACGGTTTCTGGCAAGTATCTTGTCATACCACAAAATAAACAGCATTGTAATAATATGCTTTTCACCAAAGCCGGGTTATCGAATAACCAACCTTCAGCGAACAGAACCAATCAACTGATCGCTTGGTCATTCCGTGCACTGAGGGAGTGCGACTGTCCTTTCTTTGCTGAGTTCAGTCCAGTCCACGCTACGCTTCGTGCGAGTTCACCTCTTTTCAAAACACTAAAGTTACGAGTTGGCAGCATGCGAAACTGACATTTTATGTTCAAGTGACTCACATTTCACTTTGAATGACATTGGTCATCACCTGTATTTATGTAACACTGTAAACAGTTTAATTTTTGCTCAATCGGCCTGCCATGTTTGTTTGTGTGTGTTGACGTTAACGATGCTGAGACCAAAATGATGCATTGATGGATATGATCATAAGTGCTGTCGCATTGTTACAACGACAATAAATCAAAGATGACAGCTGATAGAGATATGTGTTTTAATATTTATCTTATTTTCGATTACCGAACTATGTCATGACATATATGTGCCTGAACAAAGACGTGAACAGTCTTGGATTTCGTTTATCGAATTTTCTCGGATTAATAATGTTTAACTTTAATCAAACAAAGAAAAATGAAGTATATAATAACTAGAATGTTAATGTGTCAAGTGAAAATGATGTATCTGTCATCTCGTGACGTGAAAAACTATGAAACATCATGAACCCGCGTAGATCAGGGGTGAGAATTGATCTTCAGCAACCCATGCTTGTCGTAATTGGCGACTAACGGGATCGGGTGGTCAGGGCTTGTTGACACATCATAGATCAAAGCTCATGCTGTTGATCACTGGACTGTCTGGTTCAGACTGGATTATTTACAGACCGCCGCCATACAGCCGGAAGATTGCTGAGTGCGGCGTTAAACAAACAGACAAACAAACAAACAACCTATAGAATGTATATTTGTGATATTAACTTACACAAAGAACAGTTTGCCCACATACTGTAAGGTTATATGGGGATGTGGGCGATAAATATATAATTCAACGTCAACACCAGAGAATAACCAGAGACTACCCAGTCTCGATTAGCTGCCTAAACATTTTCCACTGGGCTAAAAAGCAGAACCATATACATGGGCCACTGAAAACCATGGCTGACATGCAAGTGTTTACAACAGAGATGATCATGTCCCGCCCTACCTGTAGCAGGGCCGCCTTAAACAGTTTGCATTAAGTCAGTGACACGACAGGGCATTTACTGGTTTTGTTGAAAGTTGAATTACGTCGGTGTTTTACAAATGCAGGGATTGTTCTTCATTTTCCACGTAAACGCTGCGTCTGTGACGGTTGAACTGGAACAATTTCTTGCAGGTATCCTTGCATATTATATTGAACTGTTTTGTAGTCACTCGTCCTTGAACCCGGTTTTGGCTATACATAATGTAAAGCTAAGACATGTATGACCTGTGTGCTACGCGGCCCGTAGTCAGGTCACGGGTTCTCTTGGTCCTCTGTCTTCTTTCCAGTACAGCCGAGTGGATGTTCTAGAGACACAGTGAACATATCTACAAAACACCTGGTTTAATCACAGATCAGAATCTAATGATTACGGCAATCCGACCAACAACACTCCAGTAGATCACAGACAGTGGATGAGTGTCATTTTCTGACGCTTTTAACAATAATACAAAGTTAACATGTCTAATTACGAGGAATCGAACCCGGTGTTTTGGTTTGATGGGCAAACGCTTCATCCTCTATGCCACCCAATGGTCTTCAAACACTATAAATATAGCCATAGATAACAAAGACACAAAACAGTGATGTTTGATGCTCGCTTAGAAACACGATCAACATTATATCTATGGATGAGTAATACTATTAATATTTAAGATAATCATAACATCACATTTCTTGAAATGATTGAAAACAAAACCGACCGGAGAGATAACAGCAGACAATGTGTTCGGTGATCGACAAGCAACCTACATTTCCACGTGTACAGAACGTAAGAGTTCATGGTGATAAGGTTATCTGGTTCTTGGAATGGAACCGAAGCTGGTTATGAGTCACTGAAGTACAACCTAACCTTCTGAGACTATGACATAGGAAAACAAGGTAGTATAAATTTTATTCATCCATTGTTTGGTCATTCGACGTAGACATCCAGACATATTGGCATTGGATTGTTGGATTTTAACTGTAAGATCCATTCATCAAAATCATGAGACGGCAAATTCACTATTCTTTTCAAAATATTTGTTGGTGCAGCAATACGTAGTTTCATAACTAACTCGGAGAGAGTTACACTGACACATATCAAAATAGAGACTATTTAGTATATATATTTAGAAAATGTATACAAATTAATGTTCTTGATATAAAGTACACATGTTTACTTAAACACATAAAAACAACATAGTTACAGAAGCTGCTTTTAAAAAAATATATATTTAGAAATGTTGGTTTTGCAGATGTAGCTGAGGAAATAGCAATTCGCCATACAAATTCCGTTCCTGATAACCCCACCTTACCGTTAGTATTATCAAATTCAGGCCCACAACAACATCTGTGACTCCACTACTATCAGCCTCTAGTTGACAGACTCGATATTTTCAGGCTGGCGTGATTTAGCTGGAATACTGCGGAGTGCGGCACAAAACAACATATTAGTATTACTACAATAGTCAGTGAGTGAGTTTGGTTTTACGCCCTTTTTTAGCAATATTCCAGCAATATCACGGCGGGGACACCAAAAATTGGTCTTCACACATTGTACCCATGGGGAATCGAACCCGGGCCTCCTACCGGGTCCGGTAGGAGTGAACGCTTCAACCACTAGGCCATCCCACCGCCCTACTAGAAAAGACAATGGTGATGGATTACATACACTGTATTTACAGGCAGGGTTCAGGTGCACACAGTTTAATTAAGATGGTTTTCATTGATATTTCATCTCCACTAAATAGTTCTGTGTGTTTATTTATCTGTCTCGCAGATGTTGGCACTCTGCTTCCTGGGGTTACTCTCCATTACATCAGCAGACGTAGTTTCTGTAACCATTGGCAACCACTGGGGTGGTGGTTTTCAAGGACAGTTTTGTTTACCCTTTGATCATGACGTGTCTTCTTGGAGAGCTCGTTTGGAGATCAGCGAGCCTACGTCGTCGCTTGAAGTGAGTTTGTAGTGAGTTAGTCAATGAGTGAGTTTAGTTTTACGCCGCGCTTTTACCACTATTCCAGCAGTATCACGGCGGGGAACACCAGAAATGGGCTTCTCCTATTGTACCCATGTGGGAATCAAACCCGGGTCTTTAACCCCTAGGCTACCCCACCGCCCCCTGTTAATAAAGGAAGTAATGTGGGCTATTCCTGTCTACCTGTCAGGTGTGGCTAGCTGACATAGAGTCCCACAGTGCTGATGGTAAAGAGTACGTCCTGGTCAACAAGCCCTTCAACGGGGTGGAACACACGGGAGATAAACTATGTATCGACTTCGTTGGTCATGCTAGCGGCGACATCACGCCGACAGTCAACGTCATCTTTGGTAAAATGCCTGATACTACAACACAACCTTCAACAACACCAATGTCCACGACCCCAACTACGCCCACCACGCCTACAACAACGGTGACACTGGCACCAGGGAGAGAGTATGTCGATATCTTCACATCTCATATTTCATATGACAGCTTCATATCGATGTATGAAACATGTCGTTAAAACAGTAACTGCAGAGTCATTTTGAAAAGGTGAAAAAAGGATTCCGTTTTTGTATATGTGTTAGTGAATATAGTAAGGTAAGAACGCCAAAGGCTGTTTAACGTCGCATTCAGGTACGTATGATATTTTTAATAATTACGTAGATATGCGATTTTGGAGCAGACAAACCAGTGATGGATATAATGGACAACTATGCCAACCGGATCTGATCACAGGCTCCAGTTTAGTTCATCATGGTTACTCTTTTTCTCCTGGAATTACTCCATTTATAATTGCTTATATGTTGCTGACAACATGATCATGTTTTATGTATATTCAGCCTGGCCACCAATCACACTTCCACCTGCACCAACAGGTGAGTACGACTTCTCTTTCTTATAATGTTTAGAACTAGATTGAATATATCACAGTGAGCTGAATAATTAGAAAACTTAACAAATATTACCTGTTACTGAAAGTACATTGGTGCACACGTGCGTAGGTGTCAAACTCACAAACCTTTCTGGCCACGGCCATGAAGTTATTGAAGCATCGTAAAATATTTTGTCATTGGTCAGAATACAATAAAATTTTAAACTTTCTCTCTCTCGTTCGTGTGTGTGCGTATGTGCGGGTACCAATAAATGATGATTTGTGTTTTCTAGCTGGTCTAAAACCAGAACACGTGGGTCACAACCTGACCGCCCCACTAACTGTGATCACTCACCGTGGGGACATGTGGGAGGGGCAGGTTTGTTTCGACCTGAAGGATGAGATTGTGGCGTGGGAGCTGGTTCTGGACTTCACTTCGGATGTGAAGGGAATCTCCGTGAGGAACTTTACATGTCTTTACATAAACCTGAAGTAAAGACAAACAATGTGTCAGCGTGATCTTCTCACATGTCTGCCTATATTTGACCTGATGTAAAGGCATACATGAACATTTTCAACATGATTTCTGAAAAGGCATGCCCTGAGCACATGGCGGACAAAGTAACTTTATGCATCATAATGAACAATTGTAAAAATAATTATAATAATGCTGATTGTGACAACTGATATTTCGGCATGGTATTTTACTGTGTACGTAGGTAGCATATGAAGCTCAATCTTAGACAGTTGAAGTCAGGTTGAATGATGACAAATGAATATACATTATTGTAAATGCAAATAATAGTGACTTTTTGTAAGGTATCAGTATCACAGTCAGCCCTGTTGTCCACAGCCCCAAAATTAATCATAAATAGTAGTAGTGTCCCTATCTGAGGCAGGATCCTTGATGTCAAACTATCTGTACGACACCGTAATGCATCATTCGCAATTATAACTTCTGTGAAACTGGTCGCATTTACGCCCCTCCAAATATAAAAAGGATGTTTTGTGTAAGTCCAAACTCATTCACTGCTTCAGACGTCAGAGGGGGATGTGTTGGGAGACTCGTCGTCGTGCGGCAAGCGCTTCGTCATGGTCAACCACGACTACATGGGTATCCACTATGGAGGAGCTCAGTACTGTATCAAAGATGTCTGGCAACGTCTGTGGTGGCGGCGTTCCGGCAGGAACTGGGGGTTCTTGTGGACGTCACCAACGACGGACAAACGCTGCCACATCTTCCCGTGATAACAGGTAAATGCCTACTCTTTCAATGCTTCTTCGAATTTGGCATCAGTTCTCTAGCATTAAAAGGTTGTTTGGTAATTTTGAAAATACTGAAAACATTTTCCATCGAGACCAATTACTCCATATGTTAGTTTGACATTAGTACGAGTATCGGTCTTCCCGTGCCTAGGTGCCCAGAAAACCAAGTACAACTACGGTGAGATCCTGATGAAGTCCATCTTGTTCTACGAGGCTCAGAGATCTGGGAAACTCCCCTGACAACAGGATCCCCTGGAGAGGACTCCGCCCTTGACGACAAAGGGGCCAACGGGGAAGACCTCACGGGGGATGGTATGATGGTGAGCTGATTGTTTTATCCTGAGTTGGAGGGATGTTTTGTATCCAGGAACAGAGGTTGTTTCACATGTCACGAAACTTCAGCTTGTAGTGGATGACACGGCAGCAACCAAAGTCCTACCCATGCAGCATTGATTGCTGAGGATCTGGGTTCCGTTGTACAAAACAAGATTACCTCAGTTAAGGTTGCAACAAAGTATCCTTCCCACGTTAAGGTTGGTCAAGCCTTAGTCAAGGTTGTTCTGTACAACGGCATCCTCCTGTGTTTTAACCCAGAACCCTCAAAGGGTTGAAGGTTGAGAAGCGTTAGAAGTGGACCGACTACACCCCTTACTTTAATCATCTTTGGCGTCTAATATTACGGATATTTACGAGATTGAGCAATAATAAAGTGATGTTTGATCCCCATTAGTATGTACTTGAATGACGTCTCTTCAGCTGGTATTATTACTAATCTTCACTGAGCCGTTGGTATCATGATTTTCCCACTTATTTTCCCATTCTCGTTTACTTTTAAACCCTGTGGAATCTGTTTCGTCGAGACTGAATACTAATATCCTCCAGCGTTGACGTTTTATATTCACCCGATTCAGTTTAAGATACCGAGGCCCACAACAGCATACAGCTTACCGTCGCCTGAACCTCGTCTTCGTATGATGCTGAATGTGGGAATTCAATCAAAGTGACCATCCCACAGATGACATCCTTACCTGAATACATGTATCTTCCAATACACACACATGGAGTTATTCATTACACACATCTTTTCGCAGCTGGCGATAACGTCAAATTCAACTTCCCCATGGCGTTCAGCACGACCCTCCTGACGTGGAGTCTCATCAGGTACAAGGACGCCTACGAGAAGACGGGTCAACTGGACAAGATGTATGAATGCATCAAGTGGCCTCTGGACTACTTCATCAAGTGCCACACCAAGCCTAACGAACTCTACGCACAGGTGCCTCCATAAACACTCACATTTGCCCCCACACGTTTAATGTGTAACTAGGTTAAATGTTTTGAGTATCCTTCTTTTATAATGTTCATAGGAATGAGCACAGTAACCTTTTCGGTGGAACCTAAATATTAATATTAAGTTAATAACGTGTTTATGGGACCAAACTATTCCCGATTTTGTAACACTAATATTACTCTATGACAATAACTTGCTGTGACCCCGTCATACATTGCATTTCCATGAATATTTCGCTTGTATCGGACGCATTGAAATGCATTTTAAAATAGTTAAATATTCTACTTAATGAGATTCCAACGTATTCTTCTTTATTGCCTATTAGTTATCTTTCATTTGTATTGAATTCCAAACAGCATGTTCCAACCCTATATAACAACACACAGGTTGGAAACGGCGGGTCAGACCATGGAACATGGACCAGTCCCGAGCGCATGACAGAACCGAGACCAGCCTACAAAATCGACGCCTCCAAGCCTGGATCCGACCTCGCAATGGAGACAGCTGCTGCCATGGCCGCCGGTTCCATTGCCTTCAAGAAGAAAGGTACATGAAAAGACAACATAAGTTATCCCATCATCATTAGTATCACGTACACAAAGTTACCGTATATGTGGCTATTCCCTATTGACAATGAAGGGCAAACAATTTGAGATTTTCACGATATGGTGAAAAGGAGAAGGGTAAATGAGCAGATATGAATTCTCCCGCCATTATTAGTACCGCGTACACAGAGATACCGTGGAGGTGGCTAGTGTCCGCTCAGACTTGGGGTAACGTTTGCCGTAGCATCACCATGGTTTTGTGTGAATGGGCATGGTTCAGTTCCTGTGGATGTGTCAAAGATGTGTCAACACCTTCTCTGTTTCGCGGAAGCATGAGTTGGCCTAAGGCGGTTTAAGGCAGTGCAATTCCCCATGCAGAGTTGCGTCCCTTGGGTTTGAATCCTGGGTCGCTCTGACAATATTCCTGGGTTTGTTACCTCAATCCTCGTAAACATCTGAGACCTGCCTCCAGGCTTTTCTCCAACACTTCCCTCACTCACTTACACAGTTCGCTCTTACGCAGGCAATGTTGGGAACATCAATCACAGAGACATTTCTGCTCCTCTACAATAATTCTTGAACGATAACGCTTATCACAAGGCAGTAACAGTCGAATTTGATTTCAGGTTGAAAGGATTGTGTTATCATTGTCTCCTGGTCTGTTTGTGATGTATTGAATTCACTGTCATTGTGTGAAGCATGATGGCCTCTGTCATCCCTGATTCCTGTGAAAGTCACACGTTCACGATCAGGCCGTGGCAGAGTGGTGATGATACCTGAAGTGCAGGCCATGCTTACCTCTTCATCTGGTGGCATACTGGGGATCTATCTATATCATATCACAGTCATAGTGGCCTTTCCACCTGATGGATAATCAGCACTGGTCAATCTCTCTGGCGTTTACGTTATATATCATCCCAATGACAACGTAAGTATTTGAATTTATCATTGAGGTTCGGAAAAGTTGCTTAAAGATCTTCTCTGTTCGTGTCCTGCCAGACCCTGCCTACTCGGCCACCCTGCTGAAACACGCCCAGCAGCTGTTTGAGTTCGCCAAAGCTCACCAGGGCAAGTACAGTGCCAGCGTCTCAGCGGCTGCCGGCTTTTACACGTACGTACATCTAGTTCACTTACGACGAGGCGACAAGTACACCCACAACCACTAGTTTACGTGAGACAAATACTCTTAAGCACAACACAATACAACCAACCAATACAACAGGCGTGCCAGTGTACAAAACAAACTTGACTGAATACAGCATGTTTTTTTGTTAAGGTATGGGAGTTGTGAGCACTAATATCGCCTTGCATAATGGCACCCTGGACATTTACAGGGAGTTAAACACAAGTACTACAACCACGTGTTCACACAATGCACGAACAATCGATACACAAAGCACTTACTATCGCTAACCCTGGGCTACACACTGGTATATAAATCGATGACAGTGAACACCAGTTAATCTATCATCACCTGTAAATCAAACATGATATGTTATTATTTTAAATTGACGGACGTTATTCAGGTGCAAAAGATTAAATTAATTTAAAAACATGTTCTTTGTACAATGCGACAAATCATCAAAATGAATCTTATCAAAGGTGAATCTTATCAAATCTTATAAAAAAACTAAAAAAATATGGAGTAAATCATCACCAAGTGGAGGGTTTCTCTCTATTGATCAGTAAAGTATCACGTGTCTCAGTAAACTGCCACGTCTATGGGTAAAGTGTTTCAGTAAACTGTCACATGTATCAACGGTGCTATTGTATGTATTAGTCAGGCAGCATCCCGGATGTTTCAGCTCCCAGTCAGATGCTGACGAGAACAGCTGGGGCGGGATGTGGCTGCACAAGGCCACAGGGGACAAGCAGTATCTGGACTACGCCGAGCAACACTTCCTGAACAAGTCCGCTTGGGGCTTCTCCTGGGACGAGAAGATAGATGGCGCTAACGTATGTAAAGCAGTATTCACGCCACTTCTCGGATCAACAGCTGTATTGAAACACGACTGCCCTTCTTGCCCTCAATACTACAATACACAACGTTCACAGTGAATACATTCTTTCAACTGGAGCAACACATTTTAAGATTAAAATCGAACAAAAGAAATACGCACATCAAACAAAAATATAGAAAAATGAGAGTTATCTCCCTGAGGCACGTGATTGCAGTTTTCTGTGTTTGAATCCACGTAAGGAAGGAGGATCGTGGCCAAATAATGACTGGTCATGCAGGGAGTTAAGGTGAAGAGTCGTTTACACTAAAGTATATATTTGAAAGGCAACTGCTGGTGAAATACATTTCCAGGGAATGTTTATGCAGGAAGTCAATGTACGCTGCTTTTGGGATACTTGGTTTGTTGGTTGTTCGACCAGTTACTTGGAGGCTGTTAAACCCAGATCTGTAACCTGGATTTGGGGTTTATTTAGAGTGTATACACAGTAGTGGGGTAACCGTATTCAGTATACAGATTTCACATCAACAGTGAATACTGGTGCATAAACAATTTTCAATTTATATTTCATTTTTCAATCTTGAAATCGCACCCTTTTCTAAGTTCTTTGTGATCTGTGTACAGTAGTATACGGGATTCAAAGAAATGTGTTTTGTTCAGGGAGACACACAACCTGAGGCCAGTTTTGTGGGTTTGCAATACAGTAAAGATGAGCTGAATATGGTGTAGATGAGGCAAACCCGGGGAGTTAATGACGATGTTAGGATTCAGTAATGAAATCATAATATTATGATTATTCAAATTGTAAGTATAATCAATATTATACGGGCACGACGTTTATGATAACAACGTCTGTATCACGATAAAGACAATGCATACAGAGAGAAGTAAGGTATATTCGGTACAACGTTGGAAACCTTTACTGACACTGTAACAGTATATACAAATAAAGTGTGTGGGCCTCGGCTTCAAAGGATGAAATACATACAGAATCAACCATGGCTTTATTGGTATCAGCTATCCATTGCAGAGAGCACACATAGAAGGGAACTTTCACAATGTTTCCACAAACAAACCTTTAGTTACTTGACCATGTTCCCATTAAGCATGATGATAATTTTATGTCAAGCAAGTGATGACAACGACATAAGAATCTATGTGGAAACGTCGCCTTTCACAGAATAAAGAAGTTGTATATCCATAATATTATCATCATTCTTCATCACCTCAACTTCTAAAATGCCCATCAAAGAAGTCATGCTCCCATTAATAAACCACTAGTTAGTGATCTAACGTCACTGTTAATCTCCACAGGTACTGATGTACGAGGCGACAAAGAAAGACCTGTACAAGAGTCACATAGAAGACACATTCAAGATGTGGTTTCCTGGGGGCAAGGAGATCGTGTATAGCCCCAAGTGCATGGCGTTCAGACTGGAGTGGGGGGCACTTCGGTATGCCTGTAAGTTGCTGCAACATTGTACGGACATTTTATTGTCTCGTATATCACCATCGGCGTAACTTGACTGCCATTGTTTCCGTGAGTCGTGAGTCGTGAACTGATGCACTGGATTGTCCAGACCGAGTTATTATTTACACGCCACCGTAAAATAACAGCAACTTTGCTGTACAATTCACCCAGTTTCATGAGTTGGTTTGTATTCCTGAACATAATCGTGTGAGGATTTCTGTATGGACATAGTTTCATTAATTTCCAGTAAGTATTTCTTTTGTCGCCGGTGTCAAGTCAGTATCTTTTTGCTACTCTCACCGCAACATCACGTTTAGGGACACACGTTCCCTTTCCCAGTTAAGTAATTAAACCAAACTAGGACTTTTGAAAAAGGCATGACAAATAAGGTCTTCGCCACAAGGATTCACCACCAGACTTTAGATTACGGTGTTTACGCTGTGTGTCATGTCAATCTATTCCAGCTAACACCGCCTTCATCGCACTGGTCGCCGCTGATGACGGCATCAACACCGAGTTGTACCGGAAGTGGGCGATGACACAGCTCCACTACGTCTACGGCGACACTGGAAGAAGCTACATTGTGGGCTACGGAGTGAACCCTCCAAAGAATCCACATCATAGGGCCAGGTATAGTTTCATTGCTTGTGTCTTTGTGTCGTTGCTTGCGTCTTGTGTTTGTCTTTGTGTCTAAGTCTTGCTTGTGTCTTGTTTGTGTCTTTGTGTCATTGCTTGTGTCTATATCATCTCCACTGCTGCGATGGTCGGTCCGAAGCAAGGAAAAACACCAAACAAGGCTGCCTTACAAGCATCAAGTGGCCAGTTCCTTTCTTTCTTTACTCATGTGTTTTTCGGCTGGATCAATGTAGGGATTAATTCCGTAGGTTATTCTAGTTTCGCTATGTTCATCCTGCTATGATAGATACCATCAACTATTGACAACTAAGGCATCACCAGTTCCAACAAGTCGCTTATAATCAACTCACCTCAGTGATTGGTGGAATTCATCAGTCAAGCATAATGACCCTTCTGAAGGAGAACTCGGTGCGGGCCCATTGCCAAACTACAGCCTCACACGAGCGAATCAAAATATTGTTATAGTTGAACTTTCTTCTGGAAACTTTCCTGAGGATTTCTTCTTTGTGTGGCATTTTACAAAATGAGAATACAATATTGACAAACAATATTGCAAACCAGTTCTTTTGTTTCGTGATTGCGACACTTCGATACAGCTTTTTCGATGCCGTTGTCAATCCTGATAATTGCATTTTTTGGATTGATACGGTTACGCCATCAGGCGCTCGAGTATTGCAGGAAACAGAAGTCGAGTTGAGTATTGTTGTCACGGTGAGTACAGTGCCTTGTGAACATTCACGTCCTTGGCGAATTGTACAGGGATGACAGAAACATGACAAAATTGTGACAAAACATACTGGCACAATAAACAAAACCCAATCTAGTTCATGCGTCCCAATCCCAAATGACTTTGTGATGAAGTACCTTGCAACATCAGAATGATCCAATGACACTTCCGGTCCATGTGTTTCAGCTCATGCCCTATGCTGCCGGCCCCGTGCACCTGGGAGTCTCAGACCAACAAGGGGCCCAATCCCCACACGCTGTACGGCGCCATGGTGGGCGGCCCCGGCAAAGACGACAGCTACACCGACGACAGAAAAGACTACGTCAAAAACGAGGTGGCTTGCGACTACAACGCCGGCATGCACGCCTCGACAGCAGGTGCGTGTTGTTGTTCGTGCATGAAGAACTTTTAGTTAGATTAGTGATCTGAAACGTAATTAACTTGCCTCATGTCAATCGTGGTTATTTATGAGAATAAGGACTCAACCCAGGAAAAGTACTAGAATCTATACTGTAATGAGAAAGTGTAATACCAAATATAACATGATATTTGACCACTTCCTAAATGGCATTGTATAATCATATTCTTTACTATACTCAGTAATTCTCCCAGTAATAATAATTCATATAGCCCATGCTTGCTAGACTTCTTACTGGTAGCCGTTCCATGGCGCTTGCATATATTTGTGTACAGTGTTGATGATACATAGCCACGTAGACTTAGTCACAGACAATAAACTTATCCACAGTGTTAGTGCTTGGGTTGTTGATCACATCTTTCTCATTCCAGCGTTGGAGCATTTGTCCCTGGTTCATCAGCTCCCTACAACGTACAGGGAAATATGTCCGTGAGACCAGCAGCTCCTGTTACCGTATACTTCGTAATTAAATGATAAGACAAACGCATTTATTTGTCTGTATTCATTCAGCAATGGTGACAGGGAGGTTAGACTCCAGGAGGCCAGTGTGGACACCTGTGCTATTATTTGTAGGGGCTAACAATTTTGTATAGCAGAAACATTAGGGTTTCAGGTGCCATTCAAGTGCTTTGACGCACCAGACACCCACCAGCATCTCTTCTTCACACATTTCACACGCGGCTGTCTTTTATAAGTGGATATTTTCAGCAGTTCTTGAGATGTTTTACAAGGACAACACTTTCACGTTAAATGAAGCACTTTCAACGGGTAATGCGTTCGATTTTCTTTTCCTATTGTCATGGAGCAGTTGTCTGGTACAGCCTTGCTTGGTTGTGTGAGCGTGGGTTAGAATTGATCGTCAGTAACCCACGTTTGCCGTAAGAGGCGACTAACGGGATCTGGTGGTCAGGCTCGCTGACTTGGTTGACACATGTCATCGGTTCCCAATTGCGCAGATCGATGGTCGTGCTGGATTGCCTGGTCCAGACTCGATTATTTACAGACCGCCACCATACAGCTGGAATATTGCTGAGTGCGGCGTAAAGCTCAACTCGCTCACTCACTTGGATATAGGTGTGTGCGTCTCTTGTATCGATAGACCCCGGTAGCAGCATCAAACCACACTCTACAGAAAAAAGCCCATCCATTCTGACCAGTACATTCATTTCAACTCCAAACATTCTCCCTAAAACTAAATCTGACGTAAAGCGCCAAGAACATTAGTTCCAGCAGCCATGACCTACAACATGAGCTTTATCACCAGCAACATGGCTCTACTAACTTCAACCAGTACTCTACTAAGAGTTTGTCAAGAGGAAAATCTCGGCCACACTCGAGCCCCAAACCCATATTGACCAAGCCCTGAATCACCATCCTCCTTGTTATTCTATTACATGCTGTTGTGAATGTTATTCTGCTGTTTGTCATACTTCTCATTACCTGGCTGTAGTCACTATTAGCTTGATAATGGTGAAAGAGTCTACACTCAAACGTGACCTAAGCATTAAACAGGATGTTGTTGTCCATAACGTCATGTGCCTCAGTATTGATTCACCAGCTTCTAGAATGCCGATCAAACCATATTAAGTAATTGATTATTTGAAATACTATGTATAGAAGTTATCGGTATCCGTGCATTCAAAACCACTGAATTCAGGTCGCAACAGAACATATTAAATATGATATAAAAAACCCAGCACGTATATCATGTTATCGTGTTTACGCCATATACATATATGCATGTAACGAATTGAGGATTTAGGATAGGAGTTAGCTTCCATGAGTGTTTGACGTATTTTAAGGCTTCGTTCAACCTTGAAATGAGGTAAAAGAAAAAAGACTTCATCTTTACAACGACAACGCGACATTTAATTAAAACAGCCCATTTGTATGGCGTTTTTCCAATCAGAAGGGGTGGTGGGGTAGCTTAGTGGTTAAAGCATTCGCTCGTCACGCTGAAGGCCCGGGTTCGATTTCCCCACATGGGCACAATGTGTGAAGCCCATTTCTGGTGTCCCCGCGGGGAATATTGCTGGAATATTGCTAAAAGCGGCGTAAAGCCAAACTCACTCACTCACTCCAATCAGAATATCACGTTCAAAGCCTTTATTACACCGGCAATTCTCATTCCCAATGGGAGAGTGCGACCTAAGCTGTCTTTGAGGTGTTTGATGGTTAAGTCATATTACCATCTCATTCTACCTGGTATCCATCCACTGCTGGCTGAACAGAGGCACATTTCAGACAAGTTCATCAGCGTGACACTTGACTGTCTCAAGAAACTCTCTCAGAAGCCAAACCGTCGAACAAGGTCACCTAGTTGTGAGACGTCTGATAGAAGGCGTTTGGGGACTATTCCTCCATTCATGATGAAGATGGCTTGTTCCAGTTATCTCAACAGGTTTGCTTTGAGGGTTTAGTCTCATTATGATTTTTCTGCCCAGAAGAGTCCCAGAGATGCTCTTTTGGTGAAGAGGTCAGGGAAGAGACGGCCAAAAAGACAAAACGTTGATGTTATTGGTTCCCATAAGGTATGTCATGAATCCTGGCTGTGTGCAGGAGCATTGTCTTTGTTGAAATAATGTCCTTTGAATGCTGTTGATTAACGAAAGCGTGGAACACAACTGGACGAATAGCCTGGTCAATGTATTGTTGTGCTGTCAGGTTGCCTTGAACTGTGACAATTGGCCAATGCTTCATTTCGCCACAGATGCCTCCCAAACCATAACACTCCTCCCGCCACTCATGAGCCTGAAGACCTCCATAACGCATGATTTGGGCATGACGTTCACCACGACAGCGATATACACGTGCTCTACCGTCTCTATGGTATAAAGAAAACTCTACTCTAATCCCTGAATAGAACCCTACGCCAATCAAGAAGAGCTGCCATCGTCGAACACGACGTGCCCAGATCAACCTATTCAGGCGATGACGACGTGTCAGCATTGTTCCTGGAATTATTGTCGTCTAACTGCGTGTCTGCTGACAACTCGACTGAGTGCTGCTGATGCTGATTCCGAAACTGGTTGTGGAAACCGATTCCCTCAGATGTAGAATTCGTAGATATTGGTCTTCCTGAGGGGTAGTGACCTTTAGGTCTGACCTGACTCCGGTCAGTCAACAGTCCCGCCAGTCTCATTGGAAACCCGTTTAATAAAGTCTATTGATAGTATGTCTGTGACAACAAAACGTTCTTGCGACATGCTGGGCATGAAAGCTCCATGCTTATCATTCCTATAACTCTTGCCACGCTGTTCACCAAAGTAAGTCTAGAGGCATATCTAAAGTGCGTTTCCTGTTTTACAACGTCTGTGTTATACCAACGGTCGTCAAAGTACCTCTATCGGCTGACGTAGTGTCGCTTCTATCCTCTCAGTAAAACGTGTATTTCACCTTACTTCCAGGCCAAATTTCTTTACTGATTTTTAAAGCTCGAAGTCAATTTTCTTCCAATACGACAACATATCTTGGTGCGGTTTTAAGGATTATTAGAAAATAAACGAAAATAATTTTCAACACCTTTGAATAAATTCCCCACATATCAAAATTAAAAATGAGCCAATTTCTTGCCTTGGCCTTGGAGTGTATCTGAGAACTTCCACCTGGTGTCTATGCTGATGTGGCCTGGATTTTAACGCCGTCTTGAACAATATTTCAGTTAATTCACGGCCCTGTCAGCTTGATATTGGAGATATGTCCAAAGTGAAGAGATATGTATGGTGCTGGGATTCGAACTGTTATCATGGCTTTCTGATGCGACTAAGGTGGCAACCGTGCACAGCAGATTGTCCAAATCTAAAATGACAGGGCCACCATGCTTGACGTCATTTACCATGCAGAAGCGCAAATAATTTGTCTTGTTGCTTCAAAACACGTTTGATTGGCTAAATACACCAACATTGACAATATATGAAATAATTTTCAAAGCAACAATGAAAGAGTTGTATCAAGAAGCTCAAGAAAAGCCGCCTCTCATTGCCATTACAAGTACTTCTTCGGTTTAACTTAATACGTAATA